GGTGTGTTTATTAAAAACAGGCTGGAGGGACACCGTGTCATTGCCAGGCGATGGGTCACCGGTGAGCTTTATTTTCGTCCACAGACTTTTCTGGCACCCGATTTTTAGAAAATAAAAGTATTTACTTTTATAAATGAAGATGGAAACCCTTTTCCTTTTCCTTACGGAGACTGTAGCCTCCTGTTGTTTGCTCGTATTGTTAATCCAATCGTGGCCTGCTTGTGTTTTACATAATTGCTGTGTACCCACTCACGCTGCAAGAACTATTCGCCTTTGCTATCTTCCCTGTAGAACAATAAAGATGTAAGGTCAAGAAACTTGTCTTTCTACCCTTTGCACAACTGGGGGTGCTGTGGGGGTGTTGAGGAAATGTCTCAGGGCTGAGTCATCCTCCTACCTAATGGTTTTAGTCCTAAGCTCCCTCGAGGCGTGGATGACAAGTCATCCAGGGGAGAAGGGGTAACCTCACCGAAATCAAGGAGCTACAGCGGAAGATCTTGGCGCCTTCTGCCAAGTCAGGGTTTGTGGTGGTGGTGGGCTGTGTGTGTGTGTGTGTGTGTGTGTTTTACTGAGTTTCTTTTCATATTACTTTTCTCAAGTGCTGATTCTTCTTCATAAGACTTTAGAAAGAAACAAAATCCTGACATTTCTGAATGAATAAGCTCTTCACATCCTGCTTTTCAAGCTGTCATATAATAAAACAAAATTTAAAAACTTTAAGATTGCTCTTCGAGGGAATGGACTCTGGAGAGAAATGTCACCAAGAAAAGACCTTAAAAATAATTGGTAATTCTCAGACAGCCCAGATTGTGTCACAGATAACTACAAGAATTGGCTCAGTAAGTCTGTGGCAACAGCTTATTAGACAAACGTCGCCGGGGTAGAGTCTTGGAGGGGGAGCTTGCCTGCCTTTGTACCAGCTGTTCCCATGGCTGGAAGCTGGACGGCTTCCCTCACTGGCTCACTGTCTGCCCCAGTCTCTGCTGCCAGCACAGCTGGGACTCGGCTGCCCAGCTTCGCGTCCAGCTTGCTGTCCATGTAAATTCTCTGTGACCTGGGTGGAAGGCCTCAGGGCCACCCATGCAGTGGGAAGTTCACTTCCTTTCTGCTTTAGTCCAGTTTGATAAGACACAGAATGAGGAAATGTAGGCAAGAGCTAAACTGTGGCCAAAAATAAGGAGAATTTTTTCTTTATTCCAAGAGGCGGGGCTGCATGGAGGGCTAGGAGTGTGTCTCTACAGCAATACTCCGGGTTCACATTCTTTTTTTTTTTTTTTTTTGGTACAGGGAATCGAACTCAGGACCTTGCACTTGCCAGGCAGGTGCTTGTGCCGCTGAGCTGTATCCCCGGCAAAGGGTTCACATTTCGAGGAGCGCACACCCTGCACCTGTAACATTAGGCAGTTTTTAATCACCTTGCCCACCTCAGCTTCCTTTCTCATAGAAGAGGGATTTTGCCAGTGCTTACCTCTCTGCATTATTACATGTGGAATATTTAAGTCAGTGCCCCAGTAACTCCTCTTTAATGAGTGATTCTACATTAATGATAATATTAAATTATAAAAAGCATGGGATGGAGGCAGTCAAGCAGTACTTCTAAAATACTGAGTTTATGTTGACGCTTTTGGGGAAAGTAGGAGGTAGACTGAGAAATAAGCTATTGAAAAATAGGCCAGCGAGGTAACTTCAGTGGTAGAGCATTTACCCAGAATGCATAAGGCCCGGGCTTCAATCTCTGGTACCGCGGGCGCGCACACACACACACAAGGCATTAAGCAGTAGGTGTGGGGAGGATTTGTTGCTGAGTAGAAGTAGTTGAGTAGTTTGAGAAATGGTAGGGATAGGGAGGAGGAAGGCACAGCTGGTGTTCCCCAGGAGGGCATGGTCTGGACTGTGTTAGAGCGCTGGGCGTGCGTAACCAGCGTCAGAACTGTTTTACCCGGGGAAGGCAGAGATGTGGAGGAGTTGAGGGCCCTGTCTGAGGTCCAGGTTCTGGACAGGCTGCCCCAAAGCTGAGTGCAGGGCTTCCTTTGGGCTGAAGGCCCCGCAGTGTGGCCACATGACCAGGACAGGACGGAGTGCAGCCTCCTCTTTTCCTGCTCAGCTCCTGAGCGAGGTCTTATGCCCAGCAGCTTTGTCCTTCTTTCCTGCCACCTCCTACTCAGATCCGAGGAATCCAGGGCAGTCACTGTTCCTTCATACGGTCCGCAGCAGACTGTCTCCAGTGCTCTTATCTTTGAGAAGTAAAGTCAGCAAGTCATGTGCAGTGCACCACAGAGCCCCGAGAGAGGGGTCAGCAAGCTAGGCTGAAAAATAGGCTGCTTAGATCCGCCGAGCCTCAGCCCTCCTGCAGCTAGAGCACACACTCCATTCCTAATGTGAAAACAGAAAACTGGTCCTGCAAGAGGTTACCTAGTTTAATCAAAGTCCTGTAGCTACAAAGTGCCCCTCCGGGGGCGCATGCCCAGGTCAGTGGTATCCGGGAACCCAGCCACGTTCTTCTCTTTCCCCAGCACCCCACAACCTGTGAGATACTGGGAAGGATTGCAGGTGTGCAGTTCTTGGTCCTTACACTGAAACATACTTAGTACTTTTCTTCTCAACCTCCTTCTGCCCATTTTTTCCCCACCACTGAGTATTGAACCCAGGATCTTTACCCTGAGCTACAGCCCCAATCCTTTTTATTTTTGTAATACTGAGACAGGGTTTCTCTAAATTGCTAATTTGTCCAGGCTGGGCTTGAACTTGCAGTCCTCCTGCCTCAGCCTCCCAGAGTGCTGGGGTTACAGTGTGTGCCACCGTGCCGGGCTTTCTTCTGCCGGTTCTCCATTTACCGTTTCCCTCCTTTCTCTGCGAAAGGAAGCACCCTATTTCACAGGCAGCCCTGGGCGTTAAAATTGCTAGCTTAAGAAGAGCTCACTGGAAAGCAGCTGATGGCTGTGGCCTTTTGGCCCCGAACGGAATTACTGCACTTAGCTGCGGGGGCTCTCTGTGCTCCTGCCCCCTTGGAGGCTCGGCGCCTGGGAGATCTGGGGACGGAAATGCTTTATGTAACATCCCCGTCGGGACTGCAGCAAGCAGCGGTTTTACTGAATTATCATAGACCTTATTTCACCTGAGCCGTGGCCGCCCAAGCTTGCTCGCAGTTTCTTTCTTCAGTTGTCTTCATCTCTAGGAATTTGTGTATAGCTGGCAGTAAAACCCTCAGGTCAGCTTCCTGGTCTGCCGGAGCCGGAGGCAGGCGCATCCCCTCCTGCCAGGGGAAGTTTTCTGGTGATGTAACTATGAGAGCACAATCCCTGGGAAGGCCGGCCGGCCAGGTCTCCTGGGAGCGGGGCCGCTGGAGGATCCGCCAGCTTCGGGGTCGGGGGTCGGGGTCCCGATGGCCGGGGCCGGGGCCATGTGCGGCCCCGCCCACCTCCCTGCCCTGCCGGGCGGGGACGGTGTAGCTCCAGGTGCTGCCAGCAGAGCCTGCCCGCCGGGCCCGGGGTGCTGCAAGGTGTCCTTTCCCCAGGAAAGCCCGCGCCAAAGCAGGGTTGGGAGCTTTGGACTTCTCACTTCCGGCCCAATGACTGATCAGTGCGGAGGTCCAGGCGCCCACTTAGCAACACAGCTGGGGAGAGGCCCCAGCCCCCGGCTCCCAGGAGGGAAAGAAGTGTTTTTTCAGTTAAAGGACTTTATGGCCATGGTTAGCAGGTGAAGGATGTTATTTTGTGCTGGAACGGGGTAGAACTGCAGCACGGCTCCTTTCAGAGCTTAGCAAAGGCTGAGTCCAGAAGAGGCACAGAGGACCCGGGCAGGAAGGGGTGGTTCCGAATGGCAGGTGCCGGCGCGGGAGGGTGCGGAGGCGGGAGCCCGAGGGAGCTGCGCTTGCCTCTTGATGTGAGGGCGAGGGTGTCAGTTCAATGACTTGACGCTCCGGGAGACTTGGCAAACTTCTTTAGAAATGAGAGGTCTTTGTGTTTTACTGGGGGAGGGGGGTGTTAACTAATGCCAATTAGAGATTCCCCAACCAATAAAAGAAACAAAAATTTACTTTGGGTGAGAAAGTGAACTCCAGTGTGAGCCCTCTATGTAAGTTGCTTCCTATTCAGGCCTACTTAGCAGGACTAGGACAATGGCACAGCTCCGTGGCAGTTGATTGGGCTCTCTCTTGTCACGCCCCCTCATCCCACACGTGTGCCCAGTCTTCTGGAACCTCGCCTTGGTGACCTTGAATGTGCTGCCAGATCCTGTTCTGGGCTCCATCCCAGCTCACTGCCCTGGCCATGCACACCGGCCTTCCTCACTCTGGGCTTCCCGTGGCCAACGCCTTTCTCTCCAGCCCTCACCTCTTGCCAAGCGTCAGAGGTGGCCGTCCAGTTGGTTGTGGTCCTCTCTCTTTGCACGATCCGCCTGGCGCTCAGCCTAGAGGAGGCCAGAACGGGGCGCACGTGCTCTCCTTTCCTGTTTCCGTCTGTACATGATGAGACCTTCCGCTTACCTCCTGAGTTTGAAACCCAAGAGTCAGCTCTGTCCTCTTCCTCACACCCACCTGGACCGAGCACCTCCGGAGTCCTCACATCCATCCTGTCTGCGCCTCCCCGGCTGTCAGGTCCGGACAGGGTCTCCTTGGCCGAGGGATTCCCAGCCGGCCAGGGTCCTTGGTCCCCTCCCGGGGCTCAGCTTTCTGCTCTTCCCAGATCCATTCAATGATTCTGGGAAACTGGAGCCCGGGGTCAAGATTCCCACCCCGAGTTACAAAGCTATGGAAAACGGACAAGGCCACACCTTGCCACTCCAAGGTCAAAATTAGATACAGGTAACACAGCCGTCACAAAATACTGCCGCTCTACATATTTCCGTCTCCCTATTACTGAGTTCTTTCACTGGCGAGAACTTCATCTTTGGACAACATTCTGCTGGGCATGTAGTAATGCCAATTAATTGTGGATAACTTGATTTTCTCTTAACAATTAACATTCCTCAGTTAATATTTACTATCTTTTTTTCTCTGACAGAATGAAGATATTCAAATGTTTTCTTAAATACATCCTCCAGCAGAAAGTTTTCATCCTGTTTTTAACCCTGTGGCTCTTCTCCTTGTTAAAGCTTCTAAATGTGGGGAGGTTCCTCTTTCCTCAGAGAGGCGTTTACCTGGTGGAGTACTCCTTGAGCACCTCGCCTTTTGTAAGAAACAGGTACACCCACATGAAGGATGAAGTCCAATATGAAGTTAACTGTTCTGGGATCTACGAGCAGGAGCCTTTGGAAATCGGCAAGAGTCTGGAGATCCGGAAGCAAGATATCATTGACTTGGAGGACGATGATGTTGTGGCAATGACCAGTGATTGTGACATTTATCAGGCTCTCAGAAGGTACCATCATAAGCTCGTTTCAAGGGAGGAAAAGAGCTTCCCGATAGCTTATTCTCTAGTTGTCCATAAGGACGCAATTATGGTTGAAAGGCTCATCCATGCTATATACAGCCAGCACAATGTCTACTGCATCCACTACGACCTTAAATCACCTGTTCCCTTCAAGGTGGCCATGAACAACTTAGCTAAGTGCTTCTCTAATATTTTCGTTGCTTCCAAATTAGAGGCGGTGGAATATGCCCACATATCCAGACTCCAAGCTGATTTAAATTGCTTGTCAGACCTTCTCAGGTCTTCGGTTCCATGGAAGTACGTCATCAACCTGTGTGGGCAAGATTTTCCCCTGAAGTCAAACTTCGAATTAGTGTCAGAGTTGAAGAAACTCAATGGAGCAAATATGTTAGAGTCGGTGAAACCCCCTAACAGTAAGATGGAAAGATTTACTTATCACCATGAGCTCAGACAAGTGCCTTATGAGTACGTGAAGCTACCAATCAGGACAAACATCTCCAAGGAAGCACCCCCCCATAACATTGAGATTTTTGTGGGCAGCGCCTACTTTGTTTTGAGCCGAACGTTTATTGAATATATTTTCAACAATTCCCTCATGGAAGACTTTCTTGCCTGGTCTAAGGATACATACTCTCCCGATGAGCACTTCTGGGCTACTTTAATCAGGGTGCCGGGAATACCTGGGGAGATTTCCAGGTCAGCCCAGGATGTGTCTGACCTGCAGAGTAAGACCCGCCTTGTCAAATGGAATTACTATGAGGGCATTTTCTACCCCAGTTGTACTGGCACTCACCTTCGAAGCGTGTGTATTTATGGAGCTGCGGAGTTAAGGTGGCTTATGAAGGATGGACATTGGTTTGCTAATAAATTTGATTCTAGGGTGGATCCTATCTTGATTAAGTGCTTGGCAGAAAAGCTTGAAGAGCAACAGAGAGAGTGGATCGCTTTGTCTTCAGAAAGATCATTTATGGATAAAAACCCCTCAATCACATCTTCACAGTAAAATGATAATGGAAATACGAGGCCATCTGGTACATGGGAGTAAATATAGAAGTGTTTACTATGCCACGTTCAGTACCATTTGAACTTAATCTTCTCATAGTTTGAAAGTTGTCTAAAATTCTGTGCACTGAAGAAAGCCATCTAGACTTTCATGTTAGGAGCTTGGAGTTGGTTGGGTCTTTTAATATTTTGTTTTTGCTTGCAATCTCACCGAGCTAAATCAGCTCTTAAATATTCAGTCAGTTATCAAATATTTGTTGAGCACCTGCTGTGCACCAGGCACTTTTTTAGAGAACATTCAGGAATTAGATCTAAGTTCTAATGCCCTTAGGAGGCCATGAGTTACCTCTTCACATGGTGATCTCAGTATCTTCGTGTTCTCCATGTAAGGATGAGGGTTCTGCCGAAGACACTTGTGGAGTCTGTGCAGAACCTGTAAACTGCCCGTTGAGAACAGTGTGTGGGGACAGTGACTAGCATGCCCACTCCTCTCCTAGCTCAGCCCTGCAGATGTCTCTTAACCACTAAAATCCTAGGAAGGGAGACTCCACTACCTCAGCGAAACTCAGAGAACTGTCCAGTTGCCTGCTTGCCAAAGCTTAATTCACACTTTGGTGCCTCGCTTGTTCAGTGCAAGGTCTAGAGGGCTATGTGGATGTGGCATTCACAGACCCGGATGGCAGGGAAGTGGTGGGGATGGTAGGGATGGGGGTTGGGGCGGGTGTGCTGGGGAGGAGGAGTTTATACAAAGTTTATTCCTTTGTTTAAACAAAGGAGTTTATTCAGCTTTTGTATCCTGTCACACACACATTGGTGTCATGAAAGCCTTCTTTTGTAACTCAGCTGTTTCTTTAGAACCCATTTACCGATGAAAAATAAGAATTGATAAAAGAATTCAAAGTGTCACACACCAGCACCTTAAACCTATGTCTCCTGTTTCATAGGTCAGTACGCTAGGGAAAGATGGAACACTTCCTATGAATGACGGAATGACCGCGTCACTAGCTCCTCCTGAAGAGGTTGTGTGGACTATGACCCCATTCTGAGTTAATCATTAGGTTCACTTAAAATGTTTTCTTTTCTGACCTTTGCCTAAGTGGAATGCAAATTTCAAATAACCAAAGTGCTAAGTTCACTGTGGTCTTATTACAAGTTTGATTCAAGGAGAAAAAGGTAAACTTTCCTAAGCACAGCAAAAATATTTATTAATGCTATATTGGAAACCCACACCTAATATATATATTTATAATATATAACATATAATATACAATGTATAATATATATGCATAAATAAAAATGCACAGTATAATATATAGTATATATGAGTAATTTAGTACATACTAATAGCATGTACTAATAGCATATATACATGTTAGTATATATATCAATGACTGTATAGAGGCAGTAATGTATACTATACTGTAGTATACTGTGTATATCTATATATATATATATACACACACTAATATATACCATACTATATAGTGTGTGTGTATGTATGTGTGTATAACTATATATTTTGATTTTGGGGGATACCGGGAATCAAACTCAGGACCTTGTGCTTGCCAGGCAGGCACTGTGCTGCTGAGCTACATACCAAGCCCTATATTATTTTATTTACACACACACATGCACATAGTAATTATACTGTGCTGAAGCAGGGTCCTGAAAATAGACTGTAATATTTTCACCAGTCTTGGGAAATTGTAGAACTTGCAAAAGGATGTCTTGTTTGAAGTCAGCCTCAGGGACTCCTTAAAGATGTGCTCATTAATCCAGGCCGAAATGAAACTATTTTGGAAGACAAAAGTATCTAAATTTTTTAGGACATTTTTTATTCTACATGTAAAATGCACTTTGCTTGTTTAGAAAGCTCATGACACTAATTGCCAAGTGGTAGCCCTTGTCTCTCCCGTCCGTTTCTCTTTCTCTTTAACTTGGTTTTTTATTCCCTTCAAGTTACTTCCTTCTTCAGGAAACACGTCCTCCCAAGCCCCGGTTTGAAGCGTAAGCTACCCTTTCCAAGACTGAGGGCAGCGGCCATGCACCCATCTTTGGCGAGTGAGCCGCTGGCCAGGCCAGGTTCCCAAGGTGTCCGTGAGCCTCAGGTCTGTCTTTGTCATAGCACTTGGGTGCCTTTCCTGGCTTCCTCACAGGTGTGCAAATCAGTTGCAATGGCATGTGAAGTAGTTTGAAAGTGAGGACACATTTTGAAATATCAGACTGCAGTAAGTGTAAGGCACAGAACCAGCTCCACTGTGAGGCTTAGTTACCTTTCTGAGGGAAATTCCACAGATCAGAGGCCACAGTTGCAGAGGCAACTCCTGTCACTGACTCCGGAGCTGAGAAAAGCCCCATTTCCCACATTCGGGGTCTCTTGAACACAATAGGATTAGCAAACTGGTGGCTTAGCTTGGCGGAGGCAGAAATACTTTGACCACCCCTGGCATGTAATACATGGGGTCCTGTTGAAATCTTATTTTTTGGCTTTGGCCTTCAGGATAGATGTAAACGCTGACACACGAGTGTCAACCTCCAGGTCCAGTGTCTTGCCTCCTGCTGAGAAATGATCCAGTCCCCAGTTTACTGAGTAGTGTCCAGGTCGCTCATCACTTTAGTGCTGCAGCAAGTGGAAGAGAAAGGGGCGCAGAGGTGGCAGTGCCTTCTTTCCCCTCTGACACAGCCCCCTGGGCTCAGTTCCTTCCATTCAGGGAGCTTGTCAGACCTTGGTCTCTTGACTCGAGGATCCTGAAGTTTCCCCAGATGCCTTCAATCCTCGATTCTTCCCTGTAACCTTGTGGCATGATTCCTTCCCTGTCTGGAAATGATCTGCAGTTTATGTTGAAGCGTTACTCTTTGTACAGTATTTATTGCATCCAGACTCCTAAGTTACTAAGAGATGAGACCAGGACCTTGAAGTTCATAAATTAGATGTGGGTGTTAGATAATATTTGTAATGGAAGAGCTATCAAAATAGATCTCTATTATGTGAAAAATCTACTGTAATATGTTTTTAAAGACAAGTGTTGCTTTTTTGCTTATTTTAAATGATACGTATATGTGATTTCTTTTGCCTTCCAGAATGTAAAGATGTATATGATTGTGTATGAGAGAGAGAGAGAAAGGGTTCATGAGAAAAAAAAGAAAATCTGTTTTGGGAATGTAAAGTGAATGTGTCCTGATGTTGTTACAACATTATTAATTATTATCGTTTGTATTAATGATAATAAAATGAGAATTCTGATTTTTTCAAATATTTTTATCAATCGGTCCCTAAATCTTCTGTTTTTGTTGTTGTTGATCGCTATTTTAGAAGTAAATTTCCCATTACGTGCATTTTAAAGAGATGGATGATGCATTTTTGGGTTATGCTGCTAGCACATGTTAATTTCTGGTATTGTAAAATGACATGTGCTCCCCAAGCCCGTGCCCTGGAATTCGCGAGCTCTCCTTCCTCAGGTTGCGCTGGTCCCTACGCAGATGCTTTCGGTGTATGGCACTTGCCAGTAGTGAAGAACAGAGTGAATTTTGCCTCACTGTAAAAGAAATTTAGTGTGTGTTACACAGAGAATATCGGCACAGCAGCATAAATTGTGTAATCTGGAAAAGTCTCACAGAGCCTTCCCGGGTTTACCTGTATCTATTTTCCACTAAGGTTAACTATCTGGGTAAATACTCTTGTTTGCTTGGAAGTTAGTTCTCAGTAGGGTAGATTGAGCTCAATTCTCTCGATTGCTAAAAAAATGAAAAGATTTCTCTCTCAGAAGGATTCCTGCCTTGATTTTAAGGCGACAGCCCAGTGGGACCCACCTCCACCGGAGGTCCCTGTGTTTGCTGATGACCAAATTACCCTTTCTAAAGCCTTCCCGGTCACCTGTCTACCTGGGACACAGAATGCCAGGAATGTGCATGCCGTGCGCACAAGTCAAGTCCATCTCAAAGAGCAAGGCCGTTTCAGGAATCGTCAACATAAAACTTAATGTTCTTCTCAGCCCAAGATGAATTCCAGCTGTGGCCAAACTGAGCAAGCTTGCAAAGCCACAGTAATTTCAGGAAGTATTTGAACTACTTGCAGTGGTGATGGTGATGGTTGGGTATCCAACATCATATTAAATAAGGACCGATAGCAGGGGATTCTGAGGTTTTTGTTCTTTTTGGTGTCCACAAATCTGCGTCTCAGCTGAGGCAAATGGCTTCTAACTTCATGACACTGATTATGAGGGAAGGGAGGCAAGGAAGAATGAGAAGATGGTTGTAGATTTGTTCCCACTGCCACAAAGACATTACTGTGTTCATGCACTATGGTTTGAACTTTCCTCCAGAGGCAAGCACAGAACAGGAACCCATCCTGCAGGTCAGACCACTGGAGGGCCACTCGCCTGACCCCAGCCGTGGCCTTCCTCCTACGGGAGCACCTTGGGTTGCATCATCCAGAAGACCAGAAGAGCATCTGAAGAAAAGTCATGGTCGGAAGGCTGAGAAATCAATTTTTTGTTGCCATTGTTACTGCATCCTATAGAACAATAAAGGAAATTAAACAATTTATATACTACATAATCTGCCATCGTGACCAAACCATGAGAGGCTCAGAATGCTCTTTTAATCTTACGTGTACAATACGCCTTTTGTCTTGTTTCCCATTGCTGTATAGTCACCATTCCTTTGCCACATTGCTGCCCGATCTCTACAACTATGTAATGGCCACACTATAATTCACTCGGCCCTTTCTTTATTGTGGGACATTTGGATTGTAAGCTACTTAATTTTATTTATTTATTCCAATAAACAGGCATTCTGATAATAAAAGTCAGCAAAGACCTTTGCCTAAAGCCAGAATGCAGACTTTCATTAACAGATCAAAGATGGTTTTCTAATGCATGGTTAATAAAGAGCTACTTTAGAGTAATGTTCTCAAAGGTTTTAAACTGATGACTAAGTCCATTCCAGGAAGCCCTAGAGGCTGCTAGTTCCTTCCAGTATCCACTCTGCCTCACTTCCCGGATTCTGCTGTGCGCGGTGGTGTCAGCTGCCCTCAGTCCCCAGCCTCCCCTTCAACTGGAGGTGAGCAGAAGGCATCGGGCATCTGAGGGTGCGTTCAGAACATGGCTCACCTACTCTGCCCCCCTCACCTCCAATTATCCTTCACCCTTGGATGTTTGTAATAGCTGGAATTTCAGCAGTCATTTAAAAAAATGAACGTGGAGGTTTTATGGCAAGGATGGAGTGAAAAGGACATTGGAACCATCCATTATCTCCTACCTTGTCATTTTGGATGGAACAAGAAAGTTGATACATACCTTAACTGCTTATCTTTGGTCTCAGTTACTTGCAGCCAAACCTGATACCCAACTGTATACCATGTATTTCTAGGACAGTGGTTTTCAGACTTTAGTCTGCATCAGAACCCCCTGAAGAGTGGAGTCCGGGTCCTAATCACCTTGCCTAACATCGTCACACCTAACAAAATCAGCAATTCCTTAGTGTCTGACACTGAGGCTATTTTCAAAATATCCCAGCTGCACCACGTATTTGCGTCCTCTGTTTAGATTAGCATCCACATGTTGATTTGGTTTATTTTGCTTTTCAAGTGTTCTTACTCTCATTTAACATTGCCACTGAGAAGGATCCCATAGGTCCTGCGATGGTGAACAATCTTCAATCAAAAAGAGAATCAGACCTAGCTCCTTATATTGCATACATATTATATTAAATAATATCTGTGGATGTATGCGAGTATGTAAGGTAGATGTCTGTGTGACATTATGCTCTTTGGCCCACATGCTTTGTGTTTATGCTTAGAAGGTGCTTCCCATCCTTATTTTGTAGGTGAGGAAGGACCCCAAGGAGGTCCGCTGATTTGCCCAAGGTCACCAGCTAGTAGGCAGCAGAGCTGAGAATGGAATTCAGCTGCCT